TAATTGATTGTATGTAAATACACAAATTTAGACTGTAATTCATTACATTTTCTCTTAGAAAAACTTTATGGCATTACATGCACGTAATTTCTTTTAATTCACATTCCTTCTAACATGTTGTATGTGCTTTAAATTACAAAAAGATGTACTGCACATAATCCACAAGTTAGTTTTTTTTTGAGACGGAGTCTCACTCTGTGGCCCAGGCTAGAGTGCAGTGGTGTGATCTTGGCTCACTGCAATCTCTGCCTCCCAGGTTCAAGTGATTTTCCTGCCTCAGTCTCTGGAGTAGCTGGGACTACAGACACGCGCCACTATGCCTAGCTGATTTTTGTATTTTTTACTAGAGATGGGGTTTCACCGCATCGGACAGGCTGGTCTCAAACTCCCGACCTCATGATCCACCTGCCTCGGCCTCCCAAAGTGCTGGGATTACAGGCACGAAGCACTGCGTCCCGCCGAAGAAAAAAAATAGCTAGTTTTAATCTGTAGCAATCTCATTGTATAAACCAAATCCCAAACCTTACCCTGGGATCCCACCACACAGTTGAGTGCATAGCCACTGATGAGCATACTCTCCGTTTGACTTCTCCCATGGGCTTTCAAAATATTAACAGAATTGACTGGATAGCGTGGCTGGCCTCTTGTGTCTGTGTATTTAATAGCAAGTACAGCATCTACTACCATGTTAGCAAAGAAATCACCATTTCTAAGCCAAAAGTTAAGGACGGTAACAGGCTTGGAATGGACAAAGGGTACACAAGTGAAAAATCAAGGATAATTTGAAAGGACTTCCTTTTAGTAACCTATTAAAGAAGCAAGCATTACGTCACCAAAATATTACAATATTATCACTATCTGCAATTCTTATCACTTTTAGACATGCTTTTTATTACCTTTTCACCCTAAAAAAGCAGGGAAAGCAACAGGCAATTTCAATACAGCATTACTCCTCCCTACTGATAACAATTTGCATAAAATTGGTATTTAAAATTTTACTGCACAAAATTGATTGCTGCTGCTACTACAGGCGCGCGCTTATGCACACACCCCCACTCCCGAGACAGGGTCTTGCTATGTTGCCCACATTGGACTGAAACTCCTGGGTTCAATTAATCCTCCTGCCTCAGCCTCCATAGTAGCTGGGACTACAGGCACACACCACCATGCCCATCTCAAAGTCTTATGTTTTAAAAAGCCTAAATTTTATCTGACAACCACAAGGATACATTCCAATGATTTTGGAAGACATGGATGTCTTAGCAGCATTAATCAGGCAATCTCTTCCCAGTTCATCTGTGTTAACAATTAGGTTTTCATTGATATAACGCACTGCTTCCCTGTTTAAAAGTGTGGGGGAGAAAAACGTTTACAAAGTCACTACTCAAACTCTTTGCAATCATCATGCTTAACACAGAGCCAAAATGTCGTAAGTAATATCTGTTCAGCCATTTCATATAGGAGGAGGACATGAAAAAACCCTCCCTCTTCAGATCATGGCAAGTTTAATCTATCCCATAAGCACAGCCACTAAAATCTATGATTAGGAGAAAATGTGGTAGTCAAATGGGAAAAAAGATACCGGTACAACTTGTTAACTTCAAATATTACTACTTAAATGCTAAAACATTTAAATGAAATGTTTTCAAATTAAAATTTAGTTATTAATCAAAACATTAAGACAACACACTTTACAACTATTACATCAAAAAAAATTTTCTCTCTATGCAAACAATCTTACTTGCAAGCAAGTCGATAGCCACTAATAACTGATGTGGGATGAATTTTCTGTTTGACTAATTCATCTGCATTTTTTAGGAGTTCTGCGGCAATAATAACCTGTTGAGAAAACATTCACTGATCTGAGTATGCCAGATATTCAACATGCGCAATACACATGAAATGACACTAAAATGGCCATCTATTAGCCAAAATGGTGGTGGTGAAATGAATTAACTGGTTATTAGAAACCTGGGGGGTGAAGGGAGAAGAACGCTACAAAACACTTTGTCCTCAATGTTACTCATAAATTCTTGGAAACTGCCACTTTAAGCAAACAACGGACAGCAATTTCTCAAATATAGTTGTTTATTGTTAACGCTGATGGGGGGAGGAAAATTTATTTTTTTATACATCGTTTTTCCTCTTAAAGTCAGTTTCCACGAATCCATTGTGGAGTGAGGTCTTACTGTATTATAAATGCAAATGGCCAAAACTGGGTAGGAGCCAGAAAAACATTCTAAGAAACCAGTACACCCAATACAATCATGAAAGACAACACACCTATTACCTTTAGAGGGAGTGCTCAATAGAAGCTCAACCGTGTGTGACTATTCATATGACCTATATTAGGCTATTATATTATTAAAAACACTTCTTCTAAGTTGATATGAAACAGTAACAAATACTTTTAAACTAAGAAGACTTAAAATCTTGTCAGCTTCTTATGGGAAGAAAACTACACTTGTTAAGTCACATTATCATAAGTTAGACAAAGATCATATTCATATTTTAGGAGTACATTCCATTCTTTCACGGCTGAAGTTTAATCTAGAAATACATGTTCCCCACAAACTATCTCGTTTCTCCAGAATTAACATCTTTCTCACCAAACAAGTGTTTCTACTATACCAGCATGCTGGATGATCTATGAAGTTTATACTGTATATCACGTTTACTGACTCGAAAAGATCACACTGTCCTATCATGATGTATTTATTAATTTCTCACACTCCCATTTTGAATTCCTGAGATCACCTGTCAGGATTTAAAAAATAAAACAGGCTTAGTGCAGCAGCTCATGCTTGTAATCCCAGCACTACAGAGGCTGAGAAGGGAGGATCACTTGAGGCCAGGAGCTCAAGACCAGCCTGGGCAACATAGTGAGACCCTGTCTCTACTGAAAAAAAAGAGAGGAAAAAAAAAAGATTTTTAATTATTTGGTTGTGGTGGCATATGCCGGCAATCCCAAGCACTCTGGGAGGCTAAGGCGGGAGGATTACTTGAGCCCAGGTGTTCCAGGCTGCAGTGAGATATGACAGCACTGCAGCACTTCAGCCTGTGCTACACATGGTCTCTTAAAAAAATAACACAAAAACATTGTTTCTCCCCCAAATTGGTAACATTTTGTTCTCTAAATAATTACAACACTTTAGAGCTTTCCAAGTCTCAAGGGGTGATGCGGGAGGAAACAAGATTTTTGAGAGACCATAAAAAAATCTGTGTGATGTCTGAACACTGCCATAAAGGGAAAAATAAGCCCTCAAAACTTGTGAATACCAACATTTAAAACAATGGGGCTATGTTAAATGAACTCAAATTCTTTCCTACTTAAACTGTACAAACAAGCTATAACTACCAACTTACAAATTGTGTTTCTGAATCTGTACCTAAGAAGCTTATTTTCCCTCTTAAATGTGTAACTTCTTTTTTCTTTTTGCTCAATCATCTGGGCATTCAGAATATGTAACTTATTTCTGACCCAGCACAAATGACCCACTTATGGCTTCAACTTTCTGAAAGTCGGTTGTTTTTAGAAAAATGATCATTCTTTAGCCAGTCTACCTACCACTGATGTAGTTCCATCTCCAACTTCTTTGTCTTGCAGATCAGCCAGCTCACAAAGAACTTTAGCTGCAGGATGTTCAACTTCCAGTAACTTGAGGATGGTTGCACCATCGTTAGTAATGGTCACATCCTAAGAAATTAGCAGGAAAAAATATGAACCACTCATAGAAATCAACACAGCCCCATTATAATACACATTCACCTTTAACATCACCTTCCAGTACCTGGATTGTGATAAAATCAAAGAATGAACACAGCAAAACACTGAAAATAGTTTTACTTTAAGGCAACTAACACAACAGTTAACGTGTACTTACACCGATATCATCCACCAGCATTTTATCCAAGCCAACAGGACCAAGAGAACTTTTTACAATATTGGCAATCGAAGCTGCAGCCATAACTGTAGACAATTACAAACACAAATAAAAAAGAAATAAGAATCCACAACTCTGAAAGACAGTAATTTCAGCCTAAAGGTAAATGACATCCAACAGCCCCTGTATTTCCCAAATCTACAAATCTGCGTTAATTATTTAAAAACCACCTACTAGGAACCTAAATGGGGCGGACACTGTGGCTCACATCTGTAATTCCAACACTGAGATGCTGAGGCAGGAGGATAGCTTGATGCCAGGAGTTCGAGACCCCCTTGGGCAACATAGCGAAACCCATTTCTACAAAAAATAAAAACAAAGCCGGATGTGGTTGCGCGGGCCTGTGCTTGGAGACTGCAGTGAGCTATGCTGGCACTCCCGTCTGGGCGACAAGTGGGACCCTGTCCCTAAATAAAGCGAGCCTATTTGGCACAGCTTTGATGAGGCGGTGGAATCTGATGGCGGGAGAAAAAAAGTAATAACCACAATTTCATGCTCTGCCACTTCGTACAGCTATGCCAGCCTTTTCCTGCAAGTTTTTTGCTCATTAAAACTCTTTTTATCTGTGAGGAGAGAAATCGGTAGCCAACGGGGAAGGTGCTTTCAGATTTGTTTACGAAAAAAAATTACGAATCTATCAAAAAACAGTGCGCTCTGTAGGTATACAAAGGCCCGACAGCAAACGCTCTGCTAAGTTGGCGCTGCCGTCTCCTGGGGTCAACTGCACTCCAGTGGCGTTTCCCGTGCTAACTCTACTTTAAGATGCTATCAACCGAGAGAGAGCCGGACGCCGGACGCCCGACCCCGACTGCAGCTACGGGCGGAAAGGGCACCGGGCTCATCCGCAGGGGCGCGGATGAACCTATTTTTTCTGGTAAATGGTCCTGAAACGAAACCCGGCGTTTAACATGGACGCTCAGGGGGCCGCCCTAAAACAAAAGAGCATGCGAGGCGTGGCCCGCACGTGCAAGTCCGGGAGGCCCGCTTTCCCGCGGAGGGGCGCGTTTCCAGCGCCGCCCCGGACACCACATCCACGCGGTGCCGGTCTCAAAACCCGGCTGCGCGCCCCGGGGCTCCTCCCCGCTGTGGGGAGAGGGGTCGACAGCGCCCTGCCCCAAAGAACGGCGGGTAGGCCGGGTCCGGCTGCGGGGCCTCCAGGCCCTTTCTGCAGAGATAAAGGAGGAGAGGCACGAAGCGGTCAGCCAGGGTCCGGTCGCGATGGGACTCGGCCCTCCCAGCCCGCGAGCCCGACCCAGGCCCGGCCCTCCCTTACCGTTCTGGGAGCGGATCGCTTCCCCAGTGCTGCGGTCACCGAACACGGACAAAGGCCCCTCCATCTTCGCAGCAGCGATACACGTTGAATTCTGCTCACAACGCGGGAAACCAGTATCGCGGTCCCTCGGCTGACCGGCGACCACAGCAGTGGCTGCGACGGCGTGGAGGGTACCCGAGCGATGCCCCAGGAGCTGCTGGGTAACACCGCCCTACCCGCTTCCCGGCTGCCCCGGCCCGGCCGCGGGGCACGGCGGGAAGGAAAAAGAGGCGGGGGCAACAGGAAGAGAAACGGGAGTGTGCCGGAAGTGAGGCTCTCGGGAAGGGGCGGGATCGGCATTTTTATCCAATTAGATAGCCGATGGGAAGGGCGCGAAAGCGGAGAACGGAAGTCGGATCTTGGACCGCTGGAAAGAGGCGGAACCTTCGCTGCAAACAACCTTGCGCAGACGCAGTGGGCCATTCTAGTGCCTTCTAGAAAGGCTGTAGGCGGGTGGAGCTTGGAGCTGGGGTGTAACTGGAGGGGCGGGCCCTTCTCCAAGGTAGAGTTGAGGTTCTGAGCGAGTCTTGCGTTTTAGCTTTAATGTCTTTTCCTCGTCCCTGCTCGGGGAGCGTAAGGCAAATCGGCCGGCTTTGCTCCAGGCCTCAGGAGTGTAAGTTTAGGAGCGCGAACCTGGGTGGGACGGGGCAGTTTTTCCAGCGGGCCATACGGGAAAATTTTTGGTTCGAGGAAGACAACTACCCTTTTTAAGGAGAAAACTGCACCGTGCCCTGCCTCATTTCTCCGCGGTGCCCAGTAGGGGTGTGTATGGACCAGTCAATGACCGCCCAAGATCTCTCAGTAGACAACTCAAATATGGTTAGGTGAAGTTGTGGGTGCCTTTCACCCTGGACTTCAGCAAAAAGCGTGGTCGTGGGCGTAGCTACGAGGTGATTGGTGGGTTCCAGGGCCTGCGTGCCCCTCCACGTGAGCGGTGATTGGCGTTGCCGGATAACAGATCCTCCTCCTGGCCACTCAGTGGCTGAGGACTTGCTACTTCCGGGTCGGGGGCGTCTGGTGTGGAGAGTTTGAGACTCTACAGCAACCAAAGGCTTTTCCCTGACTTCGTATGATTGCGGCAGGCGAGCGAGTGAGTCGTGCGTGAGGAAAGAGAGGCAAGGCTTTTCCGAGATCGTCTCAGCGATGGCGCTTCGGTCGCGGTTCTGGGGGTTCTCCGTTTGCAGGAACCCTGGTAATTAGTCTTGGCCCTCTTCGCCCAGCTGATTGGCCAGGGTCTGCACAGTACTTTGGAACGTGCGGATTCTATTGTGTATTCGACGTGCCGGATCGAAATAGAGTTCGCGGCACTGCGAACACCTCAGTAGGAAGTTAAGGACGGGGTCAGTGCTGATTCCACCCTGTGGGCACACGTATTTTTCGTCCGCTAGGCCTGAAGACTGGGGGTGTGAAAGGGGATAGACGTTAGAGCGAGCTCGTGCGCTGTCCGTATCCGTCATTTTTAAGCCCCGTGCGGTTGTTTCCGTTGCCCAGGGTGCAGGTTCGCAGCCCTCTCAACCAGCTCCAAGCCGGCGGCGAAGCCTGAAGTGCACCCTGTAGAAAATGAAGCTGTCGCCCCAGAGTTCACCAATCGGAACCCCCGGAACCTGGAGCTTCTATCTGTAGCCAGGAAAGAGCGGGGCTGGCGGACGGTGTGGCCCTCCCGTGAGTTCTGGCACAGGTAATTAAATCTGCTCGTGATTGACAGAGAAGGACACTGCACCCTAGGGACTATTTTAATTGGTTCAACGCCAGGCTCTCTCCCAGGTAGCTGCCATGCGGCGGGTAGAGGCAGGGTTCGCGGAGGGGCTGGAACAAACAGCAAATAGGTGTGATGGCGGATATTTAAAGAGGATGTTAGAGTAGCGGACAGGATACCTACTAAGGCCTGTCTGAGGAGGTGACATTTAAGAAGCTGAGATCTGAAAGGAAGAAGCCGAGTCATCTGCCAGAAAGAGCATTCCTAGCAGAGGAAACTGCTGGGGTGTTTGAGGAACTGAAGGGCTTGTGGATGTGAAGCTCAATGGGCAGAGGGTGAATGACCTAAGATGAACATGGAGGGGTAAGGAGGCGACAGATCATTAACTTTGTAAGTCAGGATGAGCACTTTAGACTTTTTTTTCATTGTAGTGGGAAACGACGAGAGGATTTAAAGCTTGACCCCGAACTAGTTTTGCAAGATCTTTCTGACTGGGCGCGGTGTCTCATGCCTGTAATCCCAGCACTTTAGGAAGCCAGCCAGGGAAGGCGAATCATCTGAGGTCAGGAGTTTGAGACCAGCCTGGCCAACATGGTGAAACCCCGTCTCTACTAAAAATACAAAAATTAGACGGGCATAGTGGTGCACGCTGTAATCCCAGCTACTCTAGTGGCTGAGGCACGAGAATCACTTGAACCCAGGAGGTGGAGGTTGCAGAGATCTGAGATCGCACCAGTGCACTCCAGCCTGGGCAACAGGGCAAGATTCTGTCTTTAAAAAATAAATAAATAAAAATCATTCTGGCTGGTTTTTGGAAGATTAAATTTTTAAGGGAACGGGAATAGAAGAAAGACCAGCTAGGAATCTAGCATGACATGAGATACTTTGTTATAAAGGTGGTTGTTTAATGAACACTTATATTTGCCAGGAATTATGCTACTTGCTTTATATTTTCTCATTTAATCCTTAAAATTACATCATGAAGCAGTTATTTCCCCCATTTTACAGGAGCAAAGAAATTGAGGTTTAGGGAGACATGATTAATAAGTGCCAGAGCTAAGATTCATGTATGTTCTGACTGACCTCAGAGCCAGGACGTTAAGTTATTACGACTATACTACAGCATGTAGGTGTTTATCAGGTTTCTCTGCTGCTGATCTCCTTGGTGAGGATTTGTTAGAATTTCTTAAGGACTTTAAGGGCTATATAAAGTTATAAGAGTAAGTTGGAAATCATAACTATGTGATGTATTATTTATTTATTGACCAAACATTGTACCTATATCACTTGCTGGGCATTGTGTTAGATTCAGGAGGTACAAAGATAAAGTAGAAGTTATCCCTGTCACCAAAAGTCTTAAGTTTCATAGTGGAAAGTGGAATGGGGATAATGATGTGTTACAGTTGCTGTGATACATTTTTACTCATAGAGGAGGGAGTCTTTCAAGAAAGAGATAGGCAGTTCAATTTTTAAATAATCTGGATCTTAAGGCTAAAGATCTTTTGAAACACCCAACCTATTACTTTCTTTTTTGTTTGTTTTTGAGACAGGGTCTGGGTCTGTTGCCCAGGCTAGAATGCAGTGGTATGATAACCTGCTTACTGCATGCTTGACTTCCTTGGGCTCAAGCAATCCTCCCACCTCAGCCTCCTGAGTGACTGGGACTACAGGCTCATGCCACTACTCCCAGCTAATTTGTTTGATTTTGTTTGAGACAAGGTCTGGCTGTGTCACCCAGGCTGGAGTGCAGTGGTGCAGGTATCAGCTCACTGTGACCTCCGCCTCCCAGGCTCAAGCGATTCTCCCATCTCAGCCTCCTGAGCATCTGGGACTGCAGGCACGCACCACCATGGCCGGCTAATACATTTATTTATTTATTATTATTATTATTTTGCTATTTTTTGTAGAGATGGGGTTTCACCACTGCCCAGGCTGGTCTCGAACTTGTGAGCTCAAGAGATCTTCGTGACTCAGCCTCCCAAAGTGCTGTGATTACAGGCATGAACCACTGCGCCCAGGCCCAACGTATTACTTTAACTTAATATTTGGATCATTTAAATAACTAGAGATGTGTTTTCTCATTTTTTCTCTGTCTGCCCTACTCGCAATATTAAAAGCAGAGAATTTCAGAATGTTATAGTAGGAAATGACCTTTGACATAATGAATCAGGCCCTTCATTGAACAAATGGTTTAAGGTGGGTCAGCAAACTGTGGCCCATGGGCCAAAGATAGCTTGTGAGCTAAAAATAGCTTTTACTTTTTTAAGTTTAAAAAAAATCAAAATAACATTTTTTAACTTGTGAAAATTAAATGAAAATCAAATTTCATTGCCCACAAGTTCTTAGAACACAGTTTCTTAGGACATAGCTGTACCCATTCTCATTTGTTTACACATCACTTGGCTGTTCTAGCACTACAGTGGCTGAGTTGAACAGTTAACAGAAGCTGTATGACCTAGAAAGCCTAGAATATTTACTATTTGGCACTTTGTGGCAAAAGATCGTTGACTCCTGGTTTAAGAGATTGTGATTTTTCTCTAGCCTGAGAGACAGACCCTGTCTCAAAAAAAAAAAAAAAAAAAAGGCCATATGAAACTGGACAGGACACAGTGGCTCATGCCTGTAATCTCGGTGCTTTGGGAGGTTGAGAAGGGTGGGTCGCTTGAGGCCAGGAGTTTGATACCAGCCTGGGTAACATAGTGAGACCTTGTCTCTTCAAAATAAAATAAAAATTAGCTTGGTGCAGTGGCATGCACCTGTAATGCCAACTACTTGGGAGACTAAGGCAGGAGAGTTGCTTGAGCCTAGGAGTTTGAGGCTACAGTGAGCTGTGCTCCAAACTGGGTGACAGTGAGACCCTGTCTCTGAAAAATAAAGCCATACAACATGGTTTGATGTCATATTTAAATATGCATACCTTGAGATTATAAAAAAAAATTTAACGTTTTCTGTTAGTACTGTTATGATTTCAGTTTTTACATTTAAATTTTTGCTCCGTCTTATATTTATTTTGGTACTAGCTGTAAAATAAAAGCAAGGAGTAAGTATATCCACATCATGTGTATGTTCAGTAACTTAGGTCTGCCTCTTCAAATCTCTTTTTGAAGTAGATCTGTAAATGAAACTCAGCTCTTCAGAAACAAATTTCTTCATGATAATTGAACTATTTAGTTTGTTATTATTGAGTATATTCTCATAAAGGCGGAGGAAAAACACTTCCCAAGCAAAATCCAAGTTAAATATGTTGAAGTAAATTAACCAAACACTGGATTGTTGAAAAATATTTAGTCATTTATTCACCTGAATTAACATAACTTTAGGATACAGATTTTTCTGTGATTTTATTATCTTCTCACCCCATTTAGGTTGCGAGTTATAAGGACTCAGCATCATGTAGAAGCACTTGTGGAGCATCAAAATGGCAAGGTTGTGGTTTCGGCATCCACTCGCGAATGGGCTATTAAAAAACACCTTTATAGTACCAGAAATGTGATGGCTTGTGAGAATATAGGACGAGTACTGGCACAGAGATGCTTAGAGGCGGGAATCAACTTCATGGTCTACCAACCAACCCCATGGGAGGCAGCCTCAGACTCGGTATTTTTGTTTTCATGTACTTATTGAAAAGGTATTGTGTTAATTCTTGGCATTAGATAACTTACATAATAATAACAGTTTTTACTTAACAAATACTTTCCATATGTCAGATCCTTTGGTGAGTACTCAACAGTGTTACTTAATTTAATCCTCACATCAGTCCATCGGGTAGGGACTAGTATTCTCATTCTATACAGAAATAAACTGAGGCTTACTTGCCCAGAGTCAATGTATGGTGGATTTCAAACCCAGGGTGACTGAATCTGTAGTCCATGATGTCAGCCACTATATTTCCTGTTCATATGTTGACATCTTGTCCATATAATATTTTGAAATGCTACTGAACCTTGACATCTCTACATTTCCTTTTTACTTAATTATGTCATTATTAAGATTACTTTCTGAAAAACCATTGTAGGCTGGGAAGTTAGCAAGAATAAATCAATTTATTTCTGTCTTTTGGAAAGTGAAAGTATTTTCAGCCTACTGGTGCTGCTGACTTAATCTTTTCCTTTGTTTTCTGATCTTCAAAACCAGATGAAACGACTACAAAGTGCCATGAGAGAAGGTGGTGTGGTTCTACGGGAACCTCAGAGAATCTATGAATAAATGAATAAATGGAAGCATTAATTGTTTTGAACATGTAAATATAAAACTGTCAGCCACTACAGCCATCAAAAGAGAGCATCTGGAAGAATAGCCAGCTTGGAAGTTTTACAGCAATAATGTTGCAGTGGAATATTATTTGTAGTTAAGGTCATCCTCCTCCCCTTTCTGTTTTTTTAAATCAAGAACTACATTCTGCCCCTGTCTTGGGCTTCAGAAGCATCTAAGAAAAGCAGTCGTCAATTATAATTAACTTTCAAAGGGCAAGTCAGAAGTTGTTTATAAATTACAAAATAAAGGCATGTTATGAACTCTTATTTTCTGGTTATATAACATTTTGTGTCTGAGCTCACTGTGGCAGTGGAGCACATACAAGGTTTATGTAAAGCACTTATTACCGTGTCTAGCTCATGGCGAGTGATCTCAGTGAATGATAGTTTGCTGCTCCGAGTGTGGGGTGTTTTTTAAAATAAGAAACATCAACATCAATCTAAGCTTATTATAGAACAGTCAGTATGTGAAGATGAAAGGACCAAATGCCAACCTCACTTGGACTCTTGGTTCCCAACAGTAAGAGAGAGAAATTTGAAAGAGGAAGGAGGTGGCATGAGGAACTGAAAGCAGAGGTGGAAATGGATGGGGTTAGTGGGCACTCAATTTGCCATGAAGTGAACATTTTATTAGATAGGAGATGAAACTTGAAATGCATGCAAGTTAATCTAAACTTTGAGCTTGGGTAGATGGGAATCATGGCAGTTCTCTGAAAGGAGCTGATGGTGTTAATTTTTGGCTATTTAATAAATGTGAGGAAAAAACCTGTAGGCAGTTAAGGTGGCTTCTAGAGCATTGTTTTCCAATTTTTTTAAATGTATACCCCAATTACACATTTGTTTAGAAGTGAAATATGTTACTTCTGCCAATTTGAGTATTCGTTGTGTTATTTTAAATAGAATACAAATCTCTATGAAGTAGGATTGGTTCTGAGAGGCCTTCAGAATCATGTGGCTTAATACTCCCCTTTTGCTTACTTAATGTCCTAGGGAGACATTTAAAAGTATAACTGAAGAGCAGTGCCTCACACCTGTAATCCCAGCACTTTAAGAGGCTGAGGCAGTTGAATCACTTGAGGCCAGGAGTTCGAGACCAGCCTGGCCAATATGGTGTAACCGTATCTCTACTAAAAACAAAAATGAGTTGGGCGTGGTGATGCATGCCTGTAATCCCAGATGTTCCGGAAGCTTACCTGGGAGAATCGCTTGAACTCAGGAGGTGGAGGTTGCAGTGAGCCAAGATGGCACCACTGTACTCCAGCCTGGGTGACAGAGGGAGACTGTCTCAAAAGGAAAAAATAAAGTATAATGGTAATGTTTTCTCTCCTAACCTTAAAGATTGATTTGAGTACCTCAGTTTGAGGACCATAGTTCCAAAATAATAGAAGCCTAGAATTCAAGGGAGGACACTGTAAGGAAGACCATAGACTAGTTGCACTGGAAACAGTAACAAAAGTAAAAATTAAGTTCACATGTAAGTGAAGGTGTAGGTAGGGATTTCTGCAAGGAGTGAGTGCACGAGATAATCCCTGGGGGCCAAGGATTCCTTCAATTTAATGGGCAGTTCTTGAGGCTTTGCAAAGTTTGATTGCAGGTGTCAAGACAGTGGTAAGGTGGACAGCAGAATGAGGAAAAAGATGTCCAGGGGCGTGGGAGAGGGAGTGGGGACAGACTAATATTGGAAGTGATGGAGAAGTTGGGAAGAGGTGATTTAGAAGACCGTGAGCCGCAGCAAAGAATCTGCTTGTTGCAGTTGCGTTCGGGGTTGTTCCTGCTCCGCTTTTCTGCTTTCACCCTTTCTGGGGACTCTGTCTTCCTCTCCTGCCACGCCTCTTAACATTCTAAGTCCATGTAAATGACATTTTCACGTTAAGGGCTGCAAAGAAATTGCTGAGGAGCCAGGTAAACAGGCATTGATTGCAACTGCAATCAAACCTCTGTAGCAAACCGTACAATTAAAACACCCGCAAGCAGGTGTGGGCGTCGCCAGCCGCAAACGGGGGAGCTACGCACGTGGGGCGGAGGCGCCTGCCTGGTTTCCACCCGCGCGCCCTTTAAGACCCGGCTGCGCGACGGCAGCGCGTGGGCAGCACGTGATAGCCCTGCGCGACTCGGCAGAGCTGCGCGGCCATGGACGTGGGCGCCGACGAGTTCGAGGAGAGCCTCCCTCTGCTGCAGGAGCTCGTCCAGGAGGCGGACTTCGTGGGTGAGGCGCCTGGGATTCGCGGCTGTGCAGGACAGAGCCCCTTGCCCCGGGCGAGCTTGGGGAGGGGGTGGCGGGACGGTTGCCAGGCCACAGGGGCTCAGAGAGGGCCTCAGGAAGGACGGGGGCTTCCTTCTCCAGCCCCGGGGCGGTGGGACTTTGAGCAGCAAGTACACTCCAAGCCCCACGTGCCTTTTGGCCAGAGCCCGGTGCGCACAGGTGCAACCCGGGACGGGGGTGCCTGGCTGCTCCTTGCCTCGGTTCCTCCATTTTCCCTTCCTGACCTCCCCTGGCTTCTTGAGCACAGGGGTGAGCCCAGGTGCCTCGGCCGCCTGCAGATCTACAGTGTGTGGAGTGCTGGCGATGTTCTGCACCCGAGGACTGGTATTTTTTTGCCTTCCTGGCAGGTCTGGACATAGAGTTCACTGGCCTTCGATCTAACCTGTCTGGACCCCAGCAGATCAGGTAAAACTAAAACTGTTCCCCTCTGTATAAGATCCGCTCCAGACCAGCATGGTTTCTGGCCAGCAGCCTGTTGACATCTGGGGGGCAGGACGTTTTGTGTGGCTTGCTCCTACGTGTTGGGGAACCTTGCTTTCGTCCACTAAATGATGGTAGTGTTCCCTAGTTGTTGTAACAAGGAAAAAATCCTCCCCGGTTGAGAGTGGTGATCCTGCCGCGGAGGCCATAGTGCCGGGATGGGATGTCATTGCCCGTGGAGTGAGACGCCTGTTTGTTCACAGTCTTTTTGATTTGCCATCGGAGTGGTACCTAAAGACCCGTCAGAGCATTCAGCAATTTACAATCTGTCAGATTGGTGAGTTTAATATCCAGCTGTTAGAGTTTTTCAAGAAGGTATTTTTATTGTCTTTGTGTTTCCTACTGTAAAAACAGCTCTGAGATTTTTCAAGAATATAGAGTATTGACTTTGCGTTTCCTACTGTAATAACAGCTCTGAGATTTTTCAAGGATATTGAGTATCATTTTTGTATGCTTGTTTTGTTTTGCGCTATTTTATACATATGGAATGTTTTGGGCCATTTTATACACATGGAATCAACACTTCGGAGCAAAGGAGCAAACAAACTTTAGCGGCATTATTTCCATGCTTAAATAAGTCAGTGTTAAGGAACAATCACTGTTACTCTTTCAAGTTAAGCTGTGTGTGTGCAATTTTTATTTTATTTTATTTTGAGACAGGGTCTTGCTCTGTCACCAAGGCTGGAGTGCAGTAGCATGGTCTCAGCTCACTGAAGCCTAGACCTCCGGGCTCAAGTGATCCTAGCACGTCAGCCTCCTGAGTAAACTGAGACTCACTACCACACCCAGCTAATTTTTAAATTTTTTCAGGTGGGTTTTTGCCATGTTGCCCAGGCTGGTCTTGACTTCCTGGGCTCAAGCAATCTTTCTGCCTGTGCCTGTCAAAGTGGTGGAATTATAAGCATGAGCAACCACACGTGGCCTGTGATTTTTTTCTTTTTCTTAAGAAAATTTACACACAAAAATAATTTTTTTAAGGTCATCCCAGCTTCAGAAACTTTTTTTTTCCTTGATGGGGTTTGGAGCTTTCTTTTCTTTTCTTTTTTTTTTTTTGAGACGGCGTCTCGATCTGTTGCCCAGGCTGGAGTGCAGTAGCGCAATCTCAACTTACTGCAACCTCCGCCTGCCGGGTTCACTCCATTCTCCTGCCAAGTATCTGGGACTACAGGTGCCTGCCACAATGCCCGGCTAATTTTTTGTGTTTTTGGTGGAGACGGGGTTTCACCATGTTAACCAGGATGGTCTCAATCTCTTGACCTCATGATCCGCCCGCCTCGGCCTCCCGACGTGCTGGGACTACAGGCGTGAGCGACTGCGCCTGACCAAGGGTTTGGAGATCTTTCTGTATCAGCTCATACAGGTCTGTTTGTTGATTTATTTATTTATTTTCTGAGATGGAGTCTCGCTCTGTTGCCCAGGCTGGAGTGCAGTAGCGTGATGTGGGCTCACTGCAACCTCCAACTCCCAGGTTCAGGCAATTCTCCTGCCTCAGCCTCCCGAGCAGCTGGGATTACAGGCATCAGCCACCAGGCCCGGCTAATGTATTTTTAGTAGCGATGGGGTTTCACCATTGTTGGCCAGGCTGGTCAAGACAGAGCTGTTAACAGTTGCATATTGTGGTTTCTTTTACAACTACTTAATCCTGCTTTTGTAATGTGAAATTAGCTGGAGATAATACATGACCAAGTGAGCATGGCTCCATTCCAGTAAAATGTTGTTATATTTACAGAGACAGACCCTGGGTCAGATTTTACTTTTCTGGGTTTGTCTGTGCCCTGCCCCGGCACCATGGGGTTTTGCTATGTTGCCCAGGCTGGGCTCAAACTTTTGGGCTCTGGATATCCTCCAGTCTCAGTTTCTCAAGTAGCTGGGAGTGCTGCCATGCCCAACCCCTGCTTTTACTATGAATGATGCTGAACATGTGTGTGTTTTCCTCTCTAGCCTGATCCTTTACTACTTTCCTGTTATGGTTTTTTGTTGTTGTTCATTTGTTTTTAATTGTAAGACCTCTTTGAGAAGTATGGGAAACAGTTGTAGTTATGTTTCCATTATTGTACCCAAATATGAAGTCCTTTTTTGGAGGGTGGGGGGAGGAGACAGAGTCTTGCTCTGTTGCCCAGGCTGGAGTGCAGTAGCTCAATCTGGGCTCACTGCAATACCCCCACCTCCCAGGCCCAAGCGATTCTCCTGCATCAGCCTCCTGAGTAGCTGGGATTACAGGGGTGCACCAACACACCTAGCTAACTTTTGTGTTTTTAGTAGAAACAGGGTTTCACCATGTTGGTCAGGCTGGTCTCAAACTCCTGACCTCAAGTGATCCACCTGCCTAGTCTCCCAAAGTGTCGGGATTACAGGCGTGAACCACCGTGCCCAGCCTGAAGTCTTTTTTTACTTTGCATATGGTTTTCTTTGAGGGGGGAGGAATAAACATTTTAAATGAGTTAAATATATACATCTTAATGGTTTTTGGTATTTTCTGTGGTTAGTTTTAAAACTATGAGAATGTCACTTTAATATTTACTTCTGTATTTGAAGAACAGGCCACAGTTAGATTTTAGCAAATTCAGTATGAATTACAATTTGACATTTCTCATGCTTCCAGTCTGTCTGTTCTTTTCTGTTTGTCATTAAAGGTGTTATCCTGTTGTAGAGCCCCCGTAGTATCTGTGGGCCCAAAGTACTGTTTGAATTGTTTTGTCTTTGTAGTGAAATTCAGGGCGCTTTTCCTTGGCATTCATTCCCTCTACGGTCATTCTTTCAGGATTGTCTGTGTTTTCTGCTATTGAAGGAGAAGCAAACAAGTACGTATCAAGAGCTTCTGCAAAGGATGTTGCTTGCCCACTTACGTTCCACAGCTGCCCCCTTCAAATTCGGCCTCAGGTGCCCTGATCACTTTTGCCCTGGATGTTCTGTATTCTCTCCTGGGTCTGTTTCTCCGCTCGCTCTGCCCTCTGTGGATTCCATGTCGTCTTTGACGTCTCTCTGGAAGCAGTACCTTTTGCGCCAGATTCACTGTGTACCTTAAGTGCTCCTGTCCCCATTTCTATCGTTTCCAGTATGCACCTATATTAATAAAAGCACCTGACACAGTGTTGTATAATGAAAGTGATGTTTGAACTACCTGACACAGTAGGCGGAAAGGATGCCTGAACTATCAGGATGCCTCCTCACCCCCCATGAGTAGTTGAGGGTGCCAGCCTGCACGCCCTAACCTGGCATCCCTGGGCGACTTGTGGAGGGGCTGTCTCTGTGGTAGACCCTGGCCCTGAAGGCAGGCTCTCTGCCTTTTTCGTTTAGCACCCCCAGTGCCAATCATAGCTCCTGAAACACAGCAGACACTCAGGCACACTCCGATTCTTCTTACCTAAAAGAAAGCGCCCACCCTGAAGCCTGCCCTGGGAACCAGAGTTTTTTTAAATGGTTGTGACTTTTTTCCTGTATGTTTCTTTTATTATAGGTATATAGCCCATTCGTGTAACTTTTTTCTCTTCCCCACAACGTTTGGGATTTTGGACTCAGAATTCTCTTTCCAGGCTTCCAGTGTTCAGTTTTTAAATCAGTATGGCTTCAACTATAACAAGGTATGGCACTGGAGGAGGGGAACGGGAATGTCTTTTGTTTGTTTGTTTTTTGAGATAGAGTCTTGCTCTGTTGCCCAGGCTGGAGTGCAGTGGTGCAATCTTTGCCTCCCAGGTTCAAGTGATTTTCCTGCTTCGGCCTCCTGAGTAGCTGGGATTACAGGCATCCGCCACCACGCCCAGCTAATTCTTTTTGTATTTTTAGTAGAGACGGGGTTTCCCCATGTTGGTCAGGCTGGTCTTGAACTCCTAACATCAAGCAATCTACCTGCCTCGGCCTCCCAAAGTGCTGGGATTATAGGCATGAGCCACCGCACCCGGCTTGGGAGTGTCTTAAAAGTGATCTAGGCCGGGCGCGGTGGCTCAAGCCTGTAATCCCAGCACTTTGGGAGGCCGAGACGGGCGGATCACAAGGTCAGGAGATCGAGACCATCCTGGCTAACCCGGTGAAACCCCATCTCTACTAAAAAATACAAAAAACTAGCCGGGCGAAGTGGCGGGCGCCTGTAGTCCCAGCTACTCGGGAGGCTGAGGCAGGAGAATGGCGTGAACCCGGGAGGCGGAGCTTGCAGTGAGCTGAGATCCGGCCACTGCACTCCAGCCTGGGTGACAGAGCAAGACCCCGTCTCAAAAAAAAAAAAAAAAAAAAAGTGATCTAGACTAACTGGCCTATACAGCCCGTCTCCTTTCCCCTTTCTATCTGTCCTCGTGAGATCAGGCACAGAGGATCCCTCTGACTTGTCTCCTTGTTCTGTTTCTGTCTTAAGTTTCTCAAAAATGGAATCCCATATATGAATGAAGAACAGGAGAAGAAAATTCGACACGATATCCTGACTGGGAACTGGAGAGTTCGCAGGTATGGCCTGTTTCTCCAGGTGCCTTTTGGTTTCCTTGTTGCTGTTGTCTGCATTTCCCGTGGGCCGGCATGCTGTTTCCAGGAATGTGGCGACCTCCATCCATACCTGGTGGGGATGGCTTCAGTCGCCAGTGCGACTGGTGCTGCTCTCCATGTGGCTGAGCTGAGAATGACTTTCACCTGTCTCCATCGTGTGCCACTCCCTCATGAACCTCTTACTGCGTCGAGTGTGAGTTTCCGTGTTGAAAAAGAAACTGACTCCTAATTTGGAACTCAAAGAAACAAGAATTCCATTCCAGTGCTAGAGGGGAAGAAATGGCTCTGTTGGACTTGCTGTGAGATGTTATGTTGATCCCCCATGTGATCTTCTGAGGGATTTTTCAAGGATATCTCACGGGCAACCTTGACTGTACCAGTCGTACTGGGCACTGACTTCAGATGTGCGCCTTAGTTAGGCTGTGTCTGCCCCACCGTGCCTGACCCTGCTGCCCTAGGCTGGAGGCCGGGAACTCTGCCTTTTTACTTTGGCTATCTGTGCCAGCCCAGTCTCCGAAACCTCGTATTCCTGTAGAGCTGGGGTCAGGAGTGACCACAGTGAGAGCAACAGCATTGTGGGTAGACGGGCCAGGGGCCTTGGGGCTGGCACCCTCACCTGGAGCCAAGTGCTGTCAGCTAGGTGTGGGTTTGAACAAGGCATGGAAGCTCTTTGCCTTTATCAGGAAAGGGAAGATTAAATGAACAACTGAAATGAGATGAGTGATGATCTCTTCCAGATAATTCTGTTCTGTTAGAGGAATTTTTGTCTCTTTGTATTTTTCCTGCTGGTTTTCATATAAAAATGTAGCTTTTTGTAAGGGAAAAACAAGTTGAATTTTTAACCTTCTTTTATTGTCAAGAGTTAGAGAAAGCCCTTTCCTTATCTCAAAATGATATTAGGTTCTGTGTCTGACACAAGAGACAATGTGTTTACCAAAGTCTTTGTGTTTTCCTGATTGTCCCAGATAAGGACTTTATCACCCCTGAAAGCTGAATAAAGAAGACGGTCCTGATAGGAATGCTTGGTATTGGCTGGATCCCAATAGCTTTTCCTCCACACATCCTAGTGAAGCAGGAGGGGATTGAATATATGCCTGGATCCTATGGAAGGGTGTGGGCTATTCTTCTGATTGTTTGGCTTCCTATTGCATAAGAGCCTCAGAGAAGAAACTGTCTTCTTTGGGTTCATTTTCTTTGTAGATTGCAACATGAAAACCAGAGGGCTCAGAAACTGCTCTCATGTTAACATAGTCATGCGGTTCTGATGTGTTTTTCTCTGACATTTTCACTTTTCATGCGCCCATTTTCAGCTCTCCGGATAAAGACCAAATCAAGGCGGTGATTGACAAAGTGACACGGTGGCTGGACCTGGCCAAGGAAGGTGACTGGATGACTCTTCCTGGGATCGCTGGTAGGCAGGGGCTGTTCCTCCCAGCGCAGGAGCATTGGGACAGGTCACTATCACCTGCCAGGAGTTGGGGGGAAACACACCCTTTCTTGGGATCCTGGTCCCAAATGCCTCATGACTGAGTCTGATGCCAGCCAGCATTTGTTTGGGAGATACATAGTCTTTGTGGTTAAAGCTCTGACCTGCATTCACATGTTGAAGGCTTTCAACACACTTTGGGTTTCAAGACCGAGAAGATCAAGTTCCATTCCTGAGCCATCCCTTTTATCTCAGTCCTGCATACCCTGTATTATTTTGACTTTTGTTAATCTCTAAACTTTTCCCCCACCGTGTGGTGTGGAGCCACAGTAAACGTGCCATAGCTTAGCAGCTCTCAGAGGCTGGTCTGTGGATCCTAGAGTCTCTGGGACCTTTTCCAATGGGTCTATGAGGTCAGAACAGTTTTCCAAGCATCCCTCAGCTGTACTTGCTATTGTCATTGTGCCATTTTGGTGCCCAAGCAATGTCGGACAAAGCTGTTGGCACCTCAGCACAAATTAAGGCAGGAGCATCATACCGTGTTCTTCGTTACCACTTACTCTCAGTTAAAAACGGAAAAGCCAATCTTACTAGCAGCCTCATTAGTGAAAAAGTAATATTCTTGGTTGTATTAAATCTCAATCTTTTGATTACTCATCTTTTAAATATTATATGTCAATATAGGTATGTAAAAAATAAGTATGCATAAAACATTGCTTGGCTGTGTGCCAAAATACGGTGATTGTGTCAAGGAAAAGTGCTTGTGCATGCAGTCTTTTGAGTTGAGAGCTGAATTAGCTGCTTTTTTTTTTGGTATGGTTTTGCTCTTGTTGCCCAGGCTGGAGTACAATGGCATGATCTTGGCTCACTGCAACCTCCGCCTCCCAGGTTCAAGTGATTCTCCTGCCTCAGTCTCCTGAGTAGCTGGGATTACAGGTGCCCACCACCATGCCCAGCTAATTTTTTCATTTTTAGCAGAGACGGGGTTTAACCATGGTGGCCAGGTTGGTCTTGAACTCTTGACCTCAGATGATCTTCCCAAAGTGCTGGGATAACAGGCATGAGCCACTGCACCCGGCCCCATGAAATATCATTTTTACTGGAAAGAACTGATTGGTTGCTTAGACTTGAAGGTTTCACAATCATTTTCTCAATGAAAAAAGCTTGTTGGCCGGGCACAGTGGCTCATGCTTGTAATCCCAGCATTCTGGGAGGCTGAGGCAGTGAGCCGAGATGACGCCACTGCACTCCAGCCTGAGCAACACAACGAGACTCTGTTTCAAAAAAAAAAAAAAAAAAAAACCCTGTCACTTCAAGGAAGATAACTCGCAGTATTTCCTAGTGATAAAATTACAGCTTTCAATCCAAAACTGGAATTTTGAAGAATTTACATGTGCCACCATAAGCTTGACAGCTTCCCGGTGCCACAGCCTTTCTGATGAGATCAGTGATCATATTTTCCAGCGTCTTCTGTTGGTGTTGTGTAATAACATGTGCAAACATTCGAGAGACCTACATAACCCTGCCAACCAGTAGTTTCCAAACTACTAGCACATGATGTTACTATTGTGCACTATCTTTTCTCATGGATAAGGGATCTATTCTAGGTATGAGATAGGCCAGTGGATTGTAATGTAGCAGTACAAGAAAACTCTTTAATGATGGTTTCAGATTCCACATTGCAATTAATCTTTAAGAAACTACCACTTGTTGAATTTGGTACAGTTTTAAAGAATATCCAGTCATTTGATAAGGCTGGTAATTCTGTTCCCTTTTCCACCTACATATCTGCTTGAGGCTAGATTTTCTTTTTCTTTTTCTTTTATTTTTTCTTTTTTGAGACAGAGTCTCACTCTTGTTGCCCAAGCTGGAGTGCAGTGGCACCATCTCGGCTCACTGCAACCTCCGCCTCCCAGGTTCAAGGGATTCTCCTGCCTCAGCCTCCTGAGTGCTGGGATTACTGGCACCCGCCACCATGCCTGGCTAATTTTTGTATTTTTAGTAGAGTCAGGGTTTCACCACGTTGGCCATGTTGGTCTCGAACTTCTGCCTCAGGTGATCTGTCCTCCTTAGCCTCTGAAAGTCCTGGGATTACAGGCATGAGCCACCACGCCCAGCCTTGAGGCTGGATTTTCTTCTGTTTCAAGGTCACATTCCAGCCAAATGTTAGAGATTTCCAAAAATGTAAAACTGTCACTTTTCTCTCTAAAGTTTTTGTTTTAGAAAATAGTTATTTTTTATAAGTGTTACTTTTGTTCTTGTATACTGGGTTTTTGTTATTTAAAGAACATTTTTTAAATGTAAGAGTTTTAATTTCTAACATGCTTAATAGCTGTCACTTACATAAACACAGACTCTATGGCATCCCCTACTTAAGAGTGGCCCTGAGATAAATAACTCTTAGAATGCTGCCCCAGATCCCATCATGACAGGCCAGACCCTGCCACATGGCTCGTGGGCTTAGACACCCTTCAAGCTGCCTTTCCACTTGACCTCTCCATCTCTCAGCTTCTGCTCCTCCGGGGCTTCTCTTGTGGGGAACATGCCACAAGGTTCCAGGTACTGTGTGCCCCTGTGTTTCCCTGCTACAGGCTTCCAGGCCTTTGAGGTCCAACTGGTGCTGAGGCAGGCCCTCCCCGACATCTGGACGGTGCTGAAAGATGAGGGGGTGAGTTTTCACCTGAGACCAGGGCGTCAGTGGCTCCATCGTTTCTCTCTCATTTGGCCAAATCTGGCCTCTGAAAAGCTTTTCTCTTGCACACTGCTAGTTTTTCCCCCTTTCCTTTTGTTTTGAGATGCAGAGCCGTTTCTTTAGGCCTCATTCCCAGTAACCCAGGATTCAGGGCATTTGTCCCTGCTTTTCAGGTGGTAGTGAAGAAAGTGAGTAAACAACATCGTTGGTATCTTCAGAACACCTCTTGTGACCAAGAGAGCTGTTGGAAGGAAAATATTCTTCTCTCTGCAAGAGGTTTTTCTGTCTTTTTCCAAATGCTGGTGAAAGCCCAGAAGGTAGGAAAACATGTCTCTCTTCTTGGCCTAAAGGCAGTCTTTTGTATTTCTGGTCAGAGATACTGAAAGCTCCTTCAACAACAAGATAAAATTCCTTAAGATAAGTGATTCCTTCTCATTAATGTTTTTCATGTTTTACTTTCAGACAGGGTCTCACCTGTCACCCAGGCAGGAAGGAGTGCAGTGGCACGAACACGGCTCACTGCAGCCTTGACCTCCCAGGCTTAAGTGAGACTCACACCTCAGCTTCCCGAGTAGCTGGGACTACAGGCACATGCCACTATACCTGGCTAATTTTTGTTTTGTTTTTGTTTTTGTTTTTGTTTTGTAGAGACGGAACCTTGCAGTGTTGCCCAGGGTGGTCTCGAACTCCTGGGATCAAGTAATCTGCCTGCCTTGGCCTCCCAAAATGGTGGGATTACAGGCGTGAGCCACTGCACCTGGCCTTCCTTCTCATTTATAACTAGCTTCGTGGATCTAACCTTGCTTTCACCAAATCATGATAGGTTAATTTGGGGCAAGAGTATCCATAAGAAACAGTACTACTTCTTTGCTCCTTTCCGTAACGCAGGAATTTCAGTACTAACTGATCTAAAACTACTTGGGAAACTGCAAGCGCCTGCTTCACAGTATAGATTTCCAGCGCAGACCCTGCCTTACGTGCCTCCTACTTGCGAATTATTTTCTTTTTTCTTTTTGTTGGCATTTAAGCGGTTGAACTACCTTTCATGGAGGCAAAGGAAGGTTAGGATGGAACTGTCAAGTGATCAGAATTGTAGTGGGTTCTAATGCTACATCTCTTGCAAGAAACAGTCTGTAGTGTCTGTATTACATTTTTTATTTTCTCTCACTTGTTGATTTACTCCCAAGTAGCCCTTAGTGGGACATAATATGATGATGGACCTGCTGCACCTCCATGAGAAGTTCTTCAGACCCCTCCCAGGTAGGGGCAAACCTGTCATTTCTCTTCCTTCATGCTAGTTTGCCATCAGGCAGAGGGACGGGTCCAGGATCGTACTCCTGAGGCAGCCCCTAAAATGCACATTCCTCCCCAGTGTCTGCAGGTTTCTGGAGAGTTCGGGCAGAGGCCTGTACTCTGAACTGTTACTGTCTCCACAGAGTGGAAAACCAGGAGACTTTGTCAAGGGGAAAAAAAATTAAATTTGAATTGATACCTCTCTCCCCATTAGTGAAGCTGTTCAGAGTTACCATATAAAACTTGACAAAATCAGAAATGCATGAAGTCAGAAGTCACCTTTAATCAGCTAGTATCCTGAATGTTTTACATATTTGATTACACTGTAAATATGTAAATATATGTAAAAATGTAAATATGTATGTAAAGATTTGATTTTTGTTTGACTTTTTTTCACTTACCTAAAGCATTATTTTATGTTGTTAGAAACCTAATAGGCCGGGCACGGTGGCTCAAGCCTGTAATCCCAGCACTTTGGGAGGCCGAGACGGGCGGATCACGAGGTCAGAAGATCGAGACCATTCTGGCTAACATGGTGAAATCCCGTCTCTACCAAGAAATACAAAAAACTAGCCGGGCGTGGTGGCGGGCGCCTGTAGTCCCAGCTACTCGGGAGGCTGAGGCAGGAGAATGGCGTGAACCCGGGAGGCGGAGCTTGCAGTGAGCTGAGATCCGGCCACTGCACTCCAGCCTGGGCGACAGAGCGAGACTCCGTCTCAAAAAATAAAAAAAAATAAAAAAATAAACCTAATAAATGCTGCTTCAGTGTCATGTGACACTGTCTTCTGGCTGTCCCCTGCTCTTCCATGGTTGATTCCATTACTGGACATGCAGTGGTGCAGCCTAGTGGGTAAAAGTGGGGACTCGAGCCTTGGTGGTCTCCTCCGTCCCACACTCACGACGTGTGTAGTCACCAGCGAGTTGACATTACCTTAATTGTAAGATTGGGATAATAGTGCCAATATCAGAGTGGTTGTGAGATTAAATGGATTAATATACAAAGAACACTAATCTGGATTAAAAGGGGTAAGAAAGTTTTAGGAGACATTTCCCCAAGAAACGATAAAACACCTGAGTTTAGACATATTGAGAGAGTTGGAGGAGAATTAGCGGTGAAATTAATAATATGCATTCACCAAAAAACTAAGTACGACAAAATAATCGCTGGAGAACAAAAGCTGTGCAAGAAAGGAGAAGTCATTGTAGCCACCACAGAGCCTTTTGTGAATGACGTGCGTGGGGGCGACAGAGATGAGCACGTGGTTGGAGGTGGAATGAGAGGGGTCATTACCCTGTCAGCTGGTGGAGGTCAGGAGTGAGGTGTCTGACCCTGCACCGCGCATGTGCTAGAGAGATGGGAATAAATACCAAAAAAAGGAACGGCAAGTGGTTGCCTTTGGAGAGTAGGAAATGTGAGAGTAGCGGGAAGAGAACACAGGGTTGTGTTTTTGTTTTAGTGTGTGTTTTGCAATAACCCTCTTTAGATGCAGGTATAATTTTACCAGCTGAGTTCTTACATAAATTTTCTTTTACCAGGACACTTTGCTAGTTATAATTTTTAGTTGATTTTTTTTCTTGGATTTTCCTCTGAGCCGTTATTTACAAAGGATTTCATGTCTGCCTTTCTGAGAATACTTCTGTTTTTAAGTCTTATCCCATCGGCTAGAACTTCGCAAACTACGTTAAGGTTGGCAGTAGAACGCATCCTGAATTTAAAAGAAAACCATTCAGCCTCTACTATTAAAAGTGGTGATGGCAGGTTGATCTGAGTTTAGAAATCCTTAGTGGCTAGGATTAATGGTGTTTTCAATTCCTGTTTTGTTTCAGTTTGCTTTATTAATCAGTGCCAGTGGCAAGCTAGGTTCAAGATGTTCCTTCCCATTTTTGCCAACAAACAAATTCACTCTTGACTACCTGGGTTTTTCCCCTCAGAAAGCTACGATCAATTTAAGCAGAATATCCACAGCCTATTTCCTGTTCTCATTGATACCAAGAATGTAACAAAGGATATCTGGAAGGTAATGAATAGAATTGCTTCGGGTTAAGGACTGTTTTTTCCATACCAGTAACACTTGGCTTTCTCTTGTGGGGTTTTTTTTCTTGTTTCTGTTTTATTTTGTTTCCTGTTTTTTTGGTGTTTTTTTTGTTTTTTGTTTTTTTTTTTTTGAGAGGGAGTCTTTCTCTGTCACCCAGGCTGGAGTGCAATGGTGCGATCTTGGCTCACTGCAACCTCCGCCTCCCTTGTTCAAGCGATTCTCCTGCCTCAACCTCCTGAGTAGCTGGGATTACAGGTGCGCACCACCATGCCCTGCTAATTTTTTGTATTTTTAGTAAAGACGGGGTTTCACCGTGTTAGCCGGGATGGTCTCGATCTCCTGGCCTCATGATCCACCCGCCTTGGCCTCCCACAGTGCGGGGATTACAGGGGTAAGCCACCGCGCCCGGCCAGCCACTTGTGTTTTTTAAAATTGTTCCTGGATACTTTTCTGTCTTCAAACCAGTATCAGTTGCCTTTTGTATTTTGGCACCTGTGGGTCATTGTATTAGCTTATGTATGACTTTTATTCCCTTCCTCTCATTCCAGTGGAAACATTTTGACTGATTTGTATAGAGTTTCTGTGTTTAGATCAGACAACAGAACAACTTATTTTAGAACCTGATGCATGCCTTGGGAATATTTGCAAGATGTGTACAGAGCACAGGGGGAGGAGGTTCCCTCCTGAAGAATCTTGAGAAAACCTCTTCTTTCTTGAGCCCCCCAGTCATGGGTTCTCAGCCCCGACGACATGTTAGAATCACGTGGGAAGTTGAAAATGCTGATAGCCAGGCTGCACTGGCAGCTTCTTGTCTGACCTAGAGTGAGGCCACATGGTATTTCTAAAGCTCCCCCGGTGATTCTGTTGTGGGGTCGAGGCTATGCACCATGTATAGACAAGAGAGACCTAGCTGGTTTACATGCTGCTTAGAAATGAAACTGAGAATAGCCAGGCACAGTGGCTCACACCTGTAATCCCAGCATTTTGGGAGGCTGAAGTGGGTGAGTGGCTTGAGCCCAGGAGTTTGAGACCAGTCTGAGCAATGTGGGTGAAACTCCATCTCTACAAAAAGTACAAACATTAGCGGGGCATGTCGGTGCATGCCTGTAGTCCTGGCTACTTGGGAGGCGTAAGTGGGAGGATCGCTTAAAGCCCGGGAGGCAGAGGTTGCAGTGAGCTGAGATTGCACCACTGTCCTCCAGCCTGGGCAACAGGGAGACCCTGTTTCAAGGGAAAAAAAAAAAAAACAACTGAGGAACAGAGAAGGGGGCATCAGATCAATGTTGTGAAGCCTTAGGGTGATCCCTTAGAGTGAATTATCCAGGAAGGGAGCCACACAGATGGGAGTGGGGTATGTGGTCTGTGTCTGCCCAGAGGCTGTTATTATTTGTACTTGGCATATTTCCAGCTACTATGAACTTTTAGGGTTTAGTAACTAGGCATTGCCCCTCGGCCCTCGAGGCCTTAGAATGACTGTATTCTACATGTATGTCCCTGGCCTTTGTCCTAGTGCCTTGCTTTCCTTTGTTTATAGATAATCTCTTGAACACATCTTCTGAGGGAGATGGTGTGTGTAGTTTTTTTCTAGCCTGGGTTTATGGGAGCCCTTCTAGGAAACCCAGGGATGCTGGGGTACCCTGACCTCTTAATTAAGGAATAAGGATAGTTGCACTATTTGAAGAGAAAGAGGAGGTTGTAGGAGCGAGCATTTTCCAGGCCGTTTTAATGACCATTTGGTCCTGCCTGAGATAGAGAATAACAAAAGCGCAAATGTTTTCCTCTGGTTTGTTTTCCATCATCGTAGGAGATGAATTTCCCGAGGGTGTCGAATCTTTCCGAAGTCTATGAAGTCCTGAACAGGTGAGGACGGCCATTCCTGGAGCTGCTGCTGGAGCAAGGTCTGCAGCTGTGGCGGCCTCCCTGTGCCCCACAGGGCTTTGGGCTCTCTAGGCGCGCTCACCCTTCACAGTGATGCCTGCTTGGGACTTGGTCTGCTCCAGCTCCTCCTGCTTCATGGCCCTCTTCCTCCGATGACCCTCTTGCCTCAGTTTCCAAAGAGAGAGAAGCCAGAGACAGGAAATCTCTCAACCCCTGCCTCTCAAACAGTTGTACGCGCCCGTTTTTCATTGTCTCGCCCCTGTCACCAGCAAATGGGGCACCTTCCCTGTGTGAGGCCAGGCGGGAGAAGCTGCCACCTACTCGTCACCTTCACCCTTGCTGGGTGGCTCCCCACCCCTACCTGCCCCTTCCTGGGGTGTCTCCACCTCTTTTTGTCTCCCTCTCATTTCCTTCCACATCAACAAGTGTTCTCCTAACTTAACAACAAAACGTCTTGAACTCTCCGTGCTCTTCTTCCCCACAGCCTGTGGCAGGCAGGGCCTTGTCTCCTTCACTTCTGCTCTCTGCAGGGGCACCCAGAGCCACCGGTCTGTCCCTACTCAGCAGGACGAGGCACGAGAGGCATTTGGAACAGGGGTGGCACCCTGTTCCGGATGTGCGTGTGCGATTTTTTTAAACCCATTCCTTGTGGTTCATGTTCTCTACCTGTCTCCTAAGTTTTCTCTCAAGGGCCCCTCCTCAGCCCTCTTCCTGCTCATTCCCAGGCTCCCGTGTGGCCTTGTCCACCCACTGGGCTTCAACTCCCAGCACCTGTGTGTGGCTGCAGTCCAGACCTCAGCATCTAGGACACTGCGTTTACAGTGTCTTGTTGATGTTCCCACCCCGCATGACTTACGGGCACCTTCAACCTGACACTCCTGTCTGTCCCTCAAGCACACTCCAGTGCCTGGAAACTTGGAAGTCTTGATGGTACCAGGCGTGGTACTGGGGGCTGTGTGTGCATGAGAGGGTGAAGGGCAGAGGGAGTTTTGTTGTAAATGCACAGGCTCTGATTCCAGACTTCCTGGGTTTAAATCACAGCTTTGCCACTCACTGGTTTTGTGAGTGACCTTGAGAGAATTACTCAATCTCTCTGTGCCTCAGTTTAACCATCTGTGAGATGAGAAAATCGTGTGTCACTCCAAGGTTGTCGTGAGGATTAAATGAGTTCGTAGATGTGGAAGGACTTAGCCCCTGGCATGGAGCCCAGGTCTGTTGAATCTTAGCTACCGCTGTTGACAACTATCCCGATCCTAACGGACAGCTCAGGCCACACCCACGGCGACAATGCCTGTTTGACAGATGGGGACATTAGGGCTCAGGGAGGCTAAGCACATGAGGTTCCAAAACATCTTATTGAAAACCAGTGAAATGAAGGTTTCCTTGTCATATGCCATCTCCATTCACCCAGGTCCCGGAGCCAAGACCTAGAAGGGGTCCCAGAGCTGAGTTGCTCACGTCTATTGAGTCAAGTTTTATGGACTGGACCCTGTAAATCTCTCAAACCTCTCCTTTCTCTGCATTCTCAGGATTGTTATCTTTTCATTCCAACCATGGAACTGTGGTAGTAGCCCCGGAGTGGTGTCCCAGCCTTGTGGCCTGCCCTCTTCATACCCCACACCACCCTTGAATGATGATCTAGAATGTGAATTTGAATGAGCTGTTTTTTCTGGTCAGAGTCTTTCTGTGGCTTCTGAAGTCCCTGTCTGTGGTAGGGGCTCTTCCCCAGCCTCTGGCCCTCCCTTCACATGGAAGCTTCAGCCCCACTTCTCACCTCACAGCTCCTGGGGTCAGACGTCCTTCTTTTCCTCACTGCCTTTGCCTGCTCGAAATGCCTGCCATCTTCCCATTCCTTGAACCCCGTTGGTTCCTGTGGTTTGGGACTCTCCATGAGTGCTGTCTGCTTCCAGAAGCCTGCAGGGTCCTGGCATGGCTGTCATACCTCAGGCCTTGCGTTTACAAGAGACAGGCGTAATTGTCTCTGTAGTTGTCACTGGACAGGCCACTGGACAGCTCCGGAGGACAGAGACAGCGTCTTGTCTGTCTTGGTGCCTGGGCTCAAGGGAAGCATTTGATAAATGCCCCTCCTGCACCATGGTTCTTTCCCCTGTCCTGTTGCCCAGTTACCAAGACGTTACCTGTCCATGCCTAGATTCGCACCTTGAAGATATGTCCCCAGTACATTTAAAAAAATTTATATTAACTTAAGGGACTGAGGAGAAAACAAGGGATTACTTTCAGCAAATTGTTTTTTTATTCTATTTTTCTTTTCTAATAGTGACTTGAATCCCACCAAGAATTCTGGACCAGAGATTGTTCACGCAAGCAGGTGTGAGAAATACGGTACGTTCCCATGAGCCACACTCCTTGCACGGTCGGCAGAGTGCTGAGGTGCTCAGCTGAGCTTGTCCTTGACCCTGGTTCCCCCGCCCCATCCCCGCCCCATCCCCGCCCCGGACAGCAATGGAGCGGGAGGTTTGTGTGGGGTTTTCCTTTGCTTACTCCACGTAACTCCTGCCCCAAATGAGCGAGCCCAGAACGCATCCAAGAGCCCTGGGAGTTGTCCGTTTCCTCCTTAACATGGTCTTTAGTCTACAAGGCAACTCTGAGCTTGGGGCTTTCTCCACCATGGGGAGGACCAAGGTGAAGTTGGTGTGTGGGCCCGTGGAAGGGTATGCAGGACCCTGGGGAGGTTGTATGAGCTGCCGCTGCCACGGATAGTGAGCTAGGATGGGGCGGGTTTCTCATGACTGCTCAACTCTCTC